TAAATATAAATAAACTATATATCAGTCGCTGCATTTCCCCCCAGAAAGATGCAGTGTTAACCCTAACATTTTATTTTAAGATTTAACATTTGTAGATGGTCTAAAGCAAAAGAGTTGTAAAAATTCTGAAAATCTTTTACTTAATTAGAAGTAGGACAATAGTGCCCCCTACAGATTAAAACTCCTTACCGAACTGGCGTTAGGACCCGGGGGAGGCTGCTGCTGCTGCCACTGCACGTGCTATTACTGTTTACTCTATCACACACACCGAATTGCTCATTCTGTGCCTGCTTTCACAGATTAAATGCAGCGATCCAAAAGAGTGAATCTAATCATCATTCAGACAAAACTTTGCTTCAAGAATGAGCCACACTGCTGACGTGATCTAACCACTAGCACACCCTGAGCACATGTGAGTTAACATATACCTCTTATCGGCAAGACATATCTGCATAATTTTTCATATCGGGTCGATACCGATATTTACATTTAAAGCCATTATCAGTCCGATAATATCGTGCATCCCTACTTACTAGTAATAATTATAATTAGAGAGCTCTCTAATTCAATTATTACTAGTAAGAATTCCAGTTACAGAGCTCTCTAATTCAATTCTTACTAGCAACAATTCCCATTAGAGAGCTCTACAAATTAATTTTTACTAGTCATATGTGTCCATTGACTTCCATTCGTTTTTAATTACAGAGCTCTACAACTGAATTTTTACTAGTACGAATTCCAATTAAAGAGCCCTACAATTTAATTCTTACTAGTAGGAATTCCAATTAGAGAGCGCTCTAAATCAATTTTTACTAGTAATAATTCCAATTTAGAGAGCTCTCCAATTCAATTTTTTCTAGTAACAATTCCGAATAGAGAGCTCTCTAATTTAATTCTTACTAGTAAAAATGCAATTACAGAACTCTCTAATTCAATTTTTACTAGTAAAAAACACATTAAACATATGTTTAATTGCAGAGCTCTGTAACTGAATTAAAGAGCTCTCTAATTCAGTTCTTACTAGTAACGATTGAATTAGAGAGCTCTCTAAATGGAATTCTTACTAGCAAAAACTGAATTAGAGAGCTCTTTAATTGAATTATAGAGCTCTCTAATTCAGTTGTTACTAGTAAGAATTGCATTAAAGAACTCTAATTGTAATTCTTACTAGTAAGAATTTAATTGTAGAGCTCTCTAATTCAATTGTTACTAGTAACAATGCAATTACGATGAGTAAGGCTGGGAATATTTTAAGATAAAACGGCTTGCCATAGCTGAACCATTTCCCACACTGACGTCATTGCGCTGATTGACAGCCAGAGGGCGCTGCTGGCAGTAAATTCTTCCTACTGTAACCTTGCAGCAGACTGAACCACATCAACCCCTGCCAATATGATGTTTTTTATTTGGCCTCACAAGATGAAGACACGCCAGCTAGTGATTTTGATTTTATTACACTTAAAATATAAATCCAGTGACCTTTAGTTAGTTTGTTATTTTCCTTGTGTGGATTTTGTCTTGAATTTAAGGAACGTTCACACAAAATGGCTGCCAATCAGAGCCCGTCATTCAATCATGTGTGTATCATCTTACAGACATTTTTTATATCCTCACTGAAAAAGCATAAGAGAAAACGTTAATGGTAGTTGGTGGTTTACGTTTTATTTGAATAAGAATACAGTTCGGTCATTTGACTTGACCGTTTAAACAAATCTAACAATTTAACTATGTTTATGAAACACAAGAATAGCAGTATTAATGTCATAATTGCATTTGTTTACAAGCAACATTGAATGTTCTGCTGACCTACATTCGAAGTTGCTTTTCTATAAACGCATACGTTCACAGAAAAGTTGGGATGTTTTGAAATCGTACATCAAAAGAGCTCGAATGACCAGACTGGTTTTTTTTTTTCAACAGGTATTTGACGGGATATTTTGACGCGAATGGGCTTTACAAAGATTGTCAGAAGTTTTCTGAAAAGTTTCGTTTTATTATCCACATTAATTTGGATTTGAAACTTCAAGATCTCTTCACATCATATAGGCTACAGGTATAGAATTTCATCTTATTCTAGCTATGTAAACGGTTGACTTTAACTTAAACGCATCACTATAAAACACCCGCGTAAAATAATAATTCTATTTAAATATGATAGTAATTATTATTTTCCTCGGTGTGTCTGAAATCAAAGCACGTGCTTGTGCGCCTGTTACCACATTTATTATTCTAGGTTTGGATTAAAGGAGCGATTTAAACTCCTCTTATATTTCACGGGCGCTATGAAATATTCATGCTGGAAAATTCCTCCATTCTGCGCAAATGAACGCGCCACCAGCAGCACAAACAAAACTAAAACAAACCCTCGGTCGGTGCATTAGCATAAAAGCTACAACAGAAGAAGTTAAGTTACGCCCGATGTTAATCAAAAATAACCATTGCACTATTTTTGACTTCTTCACAAGGTCAGACACGGAGGACATACAGCATGGCCGTGCACTCCATTTCAGGTGAGTGAGATATTTATAAAGTGTCTTCTAGAAATAAATACGAACATAACAGCTAACAATAATATCCTTTCTGTGAGCGCATGAACATTGCAGATCAACCTGTCTGAATGGTCTGAGAGCTGAACCTTTATGAAACCATGTCACAATCTATAACATGATCATATAATATGATTAAACTATTTAAACGGGGAAAAGTCGTGGTCAGGTCCTTTTACAGGGAGCGAGTGAAAGACAGAAGGAGAGGAAAAGAATTCTGAATGCTCCTTTCATACTTCCGTTCGACGTCATCATTTAATTGTGACGTAATAAAGGAGCGTTCAGGCGGAATCAGCCGCCAACAGAAATAACCCACGTTAGATCTCTTACTATTTTACAGAGAATGTTCAAGTTGTTTAGAATGCATATCAAATATTTTAAATGTTTTCACTGTTATCTGTTGAGTATTAGCTATTTTGCAGTAAAGATAGCTAATACATGAAGCCAGTTCATTTAGATTTTTTTTGTAACGACTAACTCAGATAAAATCATAATAAATACACATAAATTAATGAATACAAGCTTTCGGTTTTGCTTAACGGGTAATTTTTATATAGCCTACCGAAATCGAGAAGACAAAAATTGTAATACTTTTTTGTTGTTAAAAAAAAATTGTTATAAGCAATAGTAAAACGTTGTCTTTTGCGTTTTTAAACAGAAATAAACCTGAACCTGAAATCTAATAACGTTTTAAAACGTTTTTGCAATTTAATAGAAACGAAAAATATAGCCTAAACAACATCTGAAATGGTGTCTGGCAAAAGAAACAACTGATCATCTCTGTCCCAAATATTTTTTGTGTGTGACAAAATTACGATAAAGACTAATATTTTAAGCTATGATCGAACTGTGAAAATTAAGACACTGCATCGGAATTTTGTAGAAAATCCCTTTTTTTTTTTTTTTGAGGATCTCTATTTTAACTCTTCAGTTTATCATATAGTGCACATAAAACTGTTTTTAAAATGAATGTGACTATAGGTCAGAACTGTTTTAAGAACTAATTATAATTCGAATGTTGTGTGTGTTTTGAATAGAATACGTCCTTACCTTATAATGAAACCTCAGTTGTATTGGTCTTTGTAAGAACAATTGATTCAGCAGCAGCCTTCACATGTAAAACTGAGAATGAAGCGTTTAAAATATCCTCCCCTCATACTTGATATTTACCTCTGATTATTATCCAATCGGTTTAAAAAACGGTCGGGTTTGTATTGGCTTCGGTGGATAATTTTGGAGAGATGGAGGATTGAACGAATGCAGCATTAAACCAAAAGAAAGGAGAAGAGCTGAATAAACTCTGTGAACTCTATTGACAACTATGCGTTTCCTCAGGGGTTCGGCTGGATGGGGGTGGGTGAGGTGAAGGTATGGCGGATCCGAACTGCTCAATACATCCAAACAGACCCTCCAATCTGTCGGTTTTGTTGCACAAATCACTTCTGTAAACCTTCTGCTGCAAACTCACTTTATTGATGGGTTAAACTGGGATCTTGTCTCCTAGCAGTGTTGACAAAATGATTTCAATTGAATTAGCTTTTTTTAAGCTTAAATTAATATTTTTATATTCACTTTGGAGGGAAAGTCGAAATACATGGCTAATCTGAAGACCCAAGGGAGTGTTTTGGGGTTCATCTTATATTCAGTATGTGTTTGAAAGTTCTTGTAAGTGAAATTCAGTTTTTTTTTTTTCTTTTTTCAAATATTGAGCTTATGAATGAACATGTCAATTGGTATTTTGCATTTCAATAGCACCTATTTGCATAGTCCTGATTTAAAAGATAATTTCACACATTCTTCTGGTGTTTGATTATGAGTTTGGATTTGAAGAATCAGTGTCTAAACTTTGCTCTGACAGAGAGAAAAAGTTTGGTTTGTTTATTTAAAAAGAAAACGAGAGATCCTTCAGACGTTAAACTTTAAAAGTTTAACTCTTGCTAATCAAAAAAAGTTTAACCCTTGCTAATGAACAGTTCAGGATTGAAACAATTAAAATGTTAAGCAATATTTATGGCTTTAGTGTGTATTACTGTTCAATCATTTAAAAATGTAAATGTAATTTTACATTTACAAAAGTATTTTGTCATGGCTTTAATTGAAACTTAATGCATTCATGACTGTTAGCCTATAGCCTATATAATCGATACTTCTTTGTGGATTTAGGGAAGTTTTTAGAGTGTTGTTATTCAGTCCAGCAATAAACTCAACAAGTCAAAATCAATTAACATTTATATGTAATATTCATCGGCTGATGAATTACGCCTCGCTTTTGCTTGTTTTATTTTTCTAAACTACACTCACAAGCCTATTTTTTTTACCTCAGATCAATATTCCTGAGTGCTGTTGATTTAAATGACTTTCTAAAGTCACGCGGACCCGTTTTGCGTTTCCAGTAGCTAGACATAAACCACCGAGTATCATCTTTATTTATCTGTCTGTCCTGGAACTTATTCGATGCTTGCGGACTTTAACGGGATCAAACGGGGACGTTTAGGGTGTGTCCGTGACCTCGTTGGACGTGTTTCCCGGAGCTCGCGGGGCCGTTTTATGAATGGTGGATGGGAAACCCTCGTGCAGGAAATGAGAAACTCCATATCATCTGACACCGGTGACCAGATCCGTGACCTGCGCCGTAATGGCACGACCACCATCCATCTCTTCCACACACCAGCAAACACACACACAGCATCTCCGACAGCAGAACTGGTGCAGGGGTTGGGGGATTGGGGGCAGGGGTGAATTCCGGAGGGTGGTCGGCATGGATGGGTGGGGGTGGGTGAAATGGGCGGAGCGTAGAAGCGGTGGGGGTAGTTGTTGATTCACTCCTCCAACGTGTTTTTCCTCTGACTCAAAGACGGAGAAAAACATCCTCTGCCAAGGCATCAGGTTTGATCATGAGCTTGTCAGAAACGTTTACTGAACGAATGTCTTGTAGAAACGAAAACATCACATTTTTATAACAGGAGACAATTATTTCACATGTCAATTTTCCATTAGCCTAATCTTTGCATTTCAACTTGTTGGTTTAATGCACATTTGATTCGTTTTTTTTTTAGTAGGCTACTATTCACTCAGATAGCTCCAATTCAAAAGAACACAATAAGCACAGAAACAGAAAAAGTATGTGTGAAAGTATGATTGCATTTCATCCGTTCCATATTTTCATTTTTAGAACATTCCATTAGGCTATATGGGTTACATTTTGTGTTCATACCAATGTGTATGTTTACCATGTTTTATCACTTTATATAGCCTACCAGGAAAAAAGGGGGGGTGATTTGCTAGTTGTTTTTTTGGATCAATGCTCACTTTTCATGAATCAACAGATCATGTAGTTTGAAGGCTATATATATATATTTATAGCCTGTACTGTTGCAATACACTCTATATACGTATATTTTATGTCTTCGTGTTTGTTCTTTCTAGATGTTCATTGACGTAGGTATCATCATGTAGGCTATATATTTTCAAGTGCGCAAAGCTGATGTAACCCAGAAAAAAATCCATGTGCGTGAGGACTTGGTCAATAAAGATCTTCTTATTCTAAATCAGTCTCATTGACGTTTGTACTGCAGCAAACAACAAATGCAAACTGCAGTGTGCTTCAACAAACGATAATTAGCTAGTGATGATCTCATTTCTCCCGAACTATAATATGGAATGTTTTGGAAACGTTTAAACAAAAGCAGAAAGATAGCAACAGCAACAGCAGAAGAACAAAAATATTTTTAGTACATTTTAAAGGAAACCAAATGCGTGCATAAGAAACGTTTCCGTCTTTTTGGTTAATGACATAAAGGCATAATTTAAAACAACTTTACAAAATATGCTACGACGATTATTAGTCTAGCCTACAGTTTAATGGAATAGTAGGCTACACTTCTAGAAAAAATCTACTACCCTCTGTATACAGAGATACATTCTGGAAAACTTTTGTTGTTGCATTTCGCTACAACAAGCGAGAACATTAAAAATGACGTGTTATACAAGCATTTACTTTCATAAGACTATAAAGTATTATGACTGTGGTTACCAGCGGTTGGAATTTGGTTACATAGGCTAACGCATCATTAAAATTGTTACATATAAATAAAAAAAAACTAAAATGCTGGACTTTTTATGGTCTCTCGAATGACGTACGGAACATCCGGAGGGTGGTCGGCATGGATGGGTGGGGGTGGGTGAAATGGGCGGAGCGTAGAAGCGGTGGGGGTAGTTGTTGATTCACTCCTCCAACGTGTTTTTCCTCTGACTCAAAGACGGAGAAAAACATCCTCTGCCAAGGCATCAGGTTTGATCATGAGCTTGTCAGAAACGTTTACTGAACGAATGTCTTGTAGAAACGAAAACATCACATTTTTATAACAGGAGACAATTATTTCACATGTCAATTTTCCATTAGCCTAATCTTTGCATTTCAACTTGTTGGTTTAATGCACATTTGATTCGTTTTTTTTTTAGTAGGCTACTATTCACTCAGATAGCTCCAATTCAAAAGAACACAATAAGCACAGAAACAGAAAAAGTATGTGTGAAAGTATGATTGCATTTCATCCGTTCCATATTTTCATTTTTAGAACATTCCATTAGGCTATATGGGTTACATTTTGTGTTCATACCAATGTGTATGTTTACCATGTTTTATCACTTTATATAGCCTACCAGGAAAAAAGGGGGGGTGATTTGCTAGTTGTTTTTTTGGATCAATGCTCACTTTTCATGAATCAACAGATCATGTAGTTTGAAGGCTATATATATATATTTATAGCCTGTACTGTTGCAATACACTCTATATACGTATATTTTATGTCTTCGTGTTTGTTCTTTCTAGATGTTCATTGACGTAGGTATCATCATGTAGGCTATATATTTTCAAGTGCGCAAAGCTGATGTAACCCAGAAAAAAATCCATGTGCGTGAGGACTTGGTCAATAAAGATCTTCTTATTCTAAATCAGTCTCATTGACGTTTGTACTGCAGCAAACAACAAATGCAAACTGCAGTGTGCTTCAACAAACGATAATTAGCTAGTGATGATCTCATTTCTCCCGAACTATAATATGGAATGTTTTGGAAACGTTTAAACAAAAGCAGAAAGATAGCAACAGCAACAGCACGCCAGGCGGTTCACATACGGTAGATGTGCAAGAAGTTACATAGTGTAGCTACTAACTAGGCACATTGAGCAATGCCATCCCATCTGAAGTGTAGCTCTACTTTTCATTGAGTTTCTCTAGTTTTCCAGAGGGTGGGTTGTAGACAAGGGTGTAAGAATATATACAAGGTTAAGGTACCTAAATGTAAAAGTTTAACAGTCTGTCACTGAAAACCCCCATATATTAATTGATTATAAAGAAACGGGGGCGTCTGTAGTGGTGGTTACGGCCCTGGTTGAAGACATATCGTTGCATTGAATGCATGTTGTTGAGTAGTAGTTGGGGGATTTCCCTCAGAAACGCTGCCCACGCAGACCCACGGTCATTGTGTACACACCTAGAACAAAGTATAGGCTACATCTCAAACATCAGCACACAACATCATGGGCTTTTCTCCCTTGACCGCACAGGAGGGCCGCGCAAACGTCTTTTTGGTTAATGACATAAAGGCATAACTTAAAACAACTTTACAAAATATGCTACGACGATTATTAGTCTAGCCTACAGTTTAATGGAATAGTAGGCTACACTTCTAGAAAAAATCTACTACCCTCTGTATACAGAGATACATTCTGGAAAACTTTTGTTGTTGCATTTCGCTACAACAAGCGAGAACATTAAAAATGACGTGTTATACAAGCATTTACTTTCATAAGACTATAAAGTATTATGACTGTGGTTACCAGCGGTTGGAATTTGGTTACATAGGCTAACGCATCATTAAAATTGTTACATATAAATAAAAAAAAACTAAAATGCTGGACTTTTTATGGTCTCTCGAATGACGTACGGAACACGCACAAAACCGATTTTAGACGTCATAACGCGTTAGAAAACTGAACCTGATGCTTTTACGTGACGCAGCTGTAGAGCTGAAGTCCAGCCCGGTTCCGAGTCCGCTCCCTCTCCCGGGCTCACAGAGGAGTCACGTGTGCAGCGCTGTGAGCGAGCGAAAAAGTATAGGCTACATCTCAAACATCAGCACACAACATCATGGGCTTTTCTCCCTTGACCGCACAGGAGGGCCGCGCAAAGGTGTCGGGTCGCCGCAGATTCTGGCTGGCTCGGGTTACTGCAAGTGGTTTAATGTCCGCATGGGGTTTGGATTTATATCGATGACCAGCAGCGAGGGGAAGCCAGTGGACCCTCCACTAGACGTGTTCGTTCACCAAGTAAGTCCAATAATGCACGTGCTGGGTTTCAGCCGTTCAGCTCCTCTGACTCTTTTTCACGTTATATGTCGCATCTCATTGACATCAGCAGCGAGAGGGGATAGGAGATGTTAAAAGAGACATGACAAAATATCCAAAAAGGAGACGCACGCCGTACCATGCGCGCTAAATTTGTGCCCGCTGGAAATCGGGATGTCGGATCGACGGTGACGCGCATCACCCCATTTCACGGAGGAAACGATTTCGCTGGAACTTTGGAACGGAGGGTCCGCGGGGAAACATGGCCGAAGGTTACGATGCTTTTTTTTTTTTTAACATCTCTTTTCACGCGAACTCATATTGTCCACCGCGTTTTTTTACGTTGTTTGTACGTGTGATGAAGAGCCGTTTGAGCCCAGTGGACCCTCCACTAGACGTGTTCGTTCACCAAGTAAGTCCAATAATGCACGTGCTGGGTTTCAGCCGTTCAGCTCCTCTGACTCTTTTTCACGTTATATGTCGCATCTCATTGACATCAGCAGCAGATGTGCTGGAGGAAAGCAGAAGTAAACATGCGCTTGTGTTTTCATCCTCTGTCACTTTAAGAACGCCAAAAACGCATCTTCACTCTCCATTGATATCACCAGACGAACGGCGTATTAGTAGTAAACACGGAGGTATTTACGATGCAGCTCTTAATGGAACCTTTATTAGGAAGAGAAAAGAGAGAGTAGCCCGTGACATTGGCGTTTATTCGTTTCATGCTCACAGGAACATGTCTGATAAACCTGCCAACATGTCGGAAAATGTGTCACACGGAGCACACGATGATCAGACGGCATTCACAACCAGACTTTTGAAGAATGGCAAGCGATTTCGGTGTGAACTGTTGTACTGAACATCATGTGCTCTCGTGTTTACATGGGTGTAGTTCAGCCCCCCTTTCACAATATTTCGTCTTCTTCTCATGGACATTCAGAGCTAAATCAATACGGACGCATGTACTAAACCGGAAATTATCTCCTTTCATCATTTTCCAGGCTTTCCACGGCCCCTTAAAATAGCATACGCAGACTTAAAGAACAAAAGCAGAGGTTTCTTCTGAGTTCTATTAGCACTCAAGCTCACTGCACTGTTGTTTTGATGTCAGTTTTGCTGCTTTCTGTTACATTGTGTTCTTGTTATCTGTTGGTGATAATATTGTCAAGCAGTGTTATGTTTACTGCTGGATGTTAATGAGATGTTAAAATGATTCCTGGGACTTAACATTTCCATTGTTACAAAACACATCTGCACAATCCTTTAAATCTGAAATTCAATAACATAACAGCTAGTTTGCACAGGAAACAAGTGGCTATTTATCCATCCATCCATCTATCCATCTATCCATCCATCCATCCATCTATCTAGTATTTTTTAAAGAATTTAAAACCGTGTAAATATCTCTAGTTATTAAAATCACAGTTGTGCAATCTTTTCTCGAATTCAACAACGTTTTAATAATCTTTTATTATGATGTAACCAAATTACAATTGCTGAAAACCATTTTTAAGTAAAAGAGATTTTGCTTTATGTATTTATCTTGTGATTAGTGTTTTTATGGATATATTAGACAAATTGTTTTGTTTAAAAATACAATTTTGTTGATTTAGAGTATAACATTTGAATTAGCACAGTTAAGGAAATTGATAGCAGGCATTCTAAATATGTACAGAATTATTTGAAGTGATTTTAAACAGGCCGTTTTAAATTGTTATACAATATTTTTTTGAGGCAAATTTCATTCATTTTTCATTTAAATTTCGATTTTGTGTGGAAATGAATTTTTGTGCATGAGCTTAAACATGAACCTCTTGTGCTAGTAGCCCGTAAACCTGAGTGCATTCTGGGAAATGCAGTTCTCAAAAAAGACAAACAGCAGCCAGATACAGTCAGACTGTTATGCGTGCCATTGAGTTTAATAACATACTGTTGATAGCTTATCTAATATATATATATATATATATAATTAATGCAAATGGTTAGAAATGAGCTTGTTGAAATCAAATGAAATCTCCACATCTGTAGTTGCAAATTCAGCAGATTGTCTACTGAATTATCTGTTGAAATGCACAATAAATGCGCTAGTTACTCTGTGTTGTAAAGCACAGGTTAAACCATGCTGTCTTGATGTTAAATGTGAAATCTGTGTACATAGGTTAAGCATGGAACATTTCCTACCTTGCATGCATTAGAGTAGTTATTATAAGAATGTCTTGTACTACTGATAAAATGTTTCTGATAAGCATGAAGTAAACAATTATACCGAATGCATTTGGAAAACGAAGCCTGCTTTTTCCTCATCGCATGGGAAAGTGTATTGATTAGAGTCGTGTTTGTCATCTGGAAGAGCTGTTTGGTTTGCAGTCATTCCTGTGTTTCCTTTACTGTATATGAAAATCCTGAAACTAGCAAACACACAGTGGCTTCCAGAGGTGTATAATATAATGGCGATGTTTGCATAAAACAATTTAATGATAGCAAATGAGTTTTCACTGATGCTTTTACATTTACTTTGGTGCATTATCTTTTCACAGCGGTGTTGCATGAGCAAAATACCGCATTTTTACTCATCCAAGGAAGCAAATTATTATCTGATATTCTCAGAATGCTTAAATATATTAGTCTATCACAGGTTAGCTGCAGTATTCACTGTTTGCAGCATTAATTTGCTTAATTATTTGTATGTTTTGAACCCTCGAGCTGATTTTAGCATCATGCAGATGCAGGTCATGATGTTGAGGCTGCTTGTGTGTGTTAGACAGACTAATGGCAGAAGCAGCTGTAATCCATAACGTCTCTGATAAAGATTTGCATTTCGCTGCTATGCGGAGGTTTATTTGGGTTCTTTGTGTCTGAATGCTGCACGTACATGTGCCTTCATGCTACACTGAAAATGAAAAAGCTTTTATGCTGCGCAGGGTGTGTGTTTGTGTGTCGTCTAGGATGTGCAGCCGTTGTGCAGTGTGTGTGATAAGCAGAGTGTGTACAGCTGATTATTCCCTTCGTGTGTGTCTAAACCTGATATTATGTATTAGAAACAGCATGTTTCGTTTGGCAGTACGCCACATTTCTTACAAACAAGAATGAACTGTGTGGTTTAGCACAATACATGTATGCATTTGGCAGACGCTTTTATCCAGATTGTTATTGTTTTTTTATCAGTTCATTCATACAACCATGGGAATTGAACCCATGACCTTAACGTAGCTATGCATTGCTGTTTGCGTAATGTCTGCCTAAGAAAATGTGTTGATGTCTTTCCCCTTTATGAGAAATGTTCAGCCAAAACTGTTTTTGAGATATATATATATATATATTTTTTATTCTTAGCATGTTTTATTATGTACATTGATCTGTAGGTGTTAAAAGAAGCTGATTACACCGAGTTATGATAAATTATCATAGCTATGAAGTTGTAATTATAAAAGTAGCTGAAATAAAAATTGTATGAATGAATCGGCATTGCATATGAATATGTAATCAGCATTATTTTATTAGTATTCAGTTGAAAACTGTTTTTGACTTGACAGCTGATTTAAATATTTTATTTAACATTTTATAATTTTATATTTTGAACATTTTAGAATTTTACTTTTTCTATGAATGACAGCCAAAATAGTTAATATCATATCAAAGAAGTAATGTGAATTATTTGAGATAAAGTAGGTTATTGTTGTTTTTGAACTGATACCAGTTCCAGCACACTGACTATAATTTAAAATTTAATCTTTAAAGTTGGTTTATTATTAAATTTGATGAAGCAGTCTTTCTCAGTGCACGTATATTAATTGTACTTTTACTTTATGGTGCATGTTTTTTGAACCAAAAGTTGGCTACACTTTACTTTGAAGCACTTATGTATAATGCATTATGAAGTTATTCATAATGTAAATTCTAATGCGTTATTTTTTAAAGTTAAATGTTAAAATGCATATAATATTTGCCTATTCCTTGTTACAGCTGAAATTGGTCGTTTGTCATGTTCTAGTCCATTATACTTTCTAAGTGTGTGTAACAATGAATAGATAAGTATTAGAATTGTGTTTACAGTTATCATACAGTGCATCATAAAGTGCTTTACAAGGCATAATTAATGCATTCAAATACTTTTTAAATGCATTATATATAAAGGCTTTAAGTAAAGTGTTACCGTTGTTACATTAGCCTCCTTTAATGCGACCAGTACATCAATACAGTATCCTCATTGAAACACACTAGTGTTTTAGATCTCCTACAAATCCATGAGCTTTCTGTGTCAATCCAGGACAGGAAAAAGTGTGAGTCAGAAGAAAAGAGAACGCATGTTGTGTGTGTGTGTGTTTTTGTTTGTATGTGTAAAGAGGATTTCTGTGTGTGTGTGTGTGTGGTGGGGGTTGGGGTCCTCTAACATTCTTTAAAAGAGGAATTTCGTTAAAGACAAAAAAGGGAAAGGAGGCGTGGCTTTGGCCGGCCCTCACACTCTGAATCAACGCACTGCAGTGTGTGTGTGTGTGTGTGTTTCATTAGGAGCTTTGTGTTTGATTTTTCTGAATGCTGCACCTCCTGCAGTGTTTGTGCGTGTGTTAGTCTAACCGCACGAATGCATGTTGTTGTTTATAAATGTGTCACTGTATATGACTCGATCATTTCATGTGTTTCTATATACACTATTAAAAATAAAGGTTCTTTATTGGCTTTGATGGTTCTACAAGAACCTTTAACATCAATGAAACCTTTCCATTGCACAAAAAGGTTCTTTAAAGTGGAAAAATGTTTTTAAAATGTTAGGTAAAAATGGTTATTTTAAGAACCGTTTACTGAAAGGTTCTTTGGGGTTGTTCTTCTGAAATGGTATGATCAGTAAGTCATGGCAAGTTATATGAGATTCAACTAGGCGAGATTTTAAAAACTGAGATGAAGTAACTCGTAGAGCCCGTTTGATGATACTTACAATTTTAAAGCAGAGACTGAAGTTTTAAATTTGAATTCCTTTTTTTTTC